CAAATAATTTACGTTCCATTTTCACTGTACGGCTTCTTCGACATGATGCCAATGTTTTATTCGGAAAATATTATACCGGTCACTTTTGGATTTTACTGTCTATACTGCGGAGACCAATGCGATATGATAATGTTTTACGATTTTCGATTTTATGTTCCCGTAAATAAAATTATGGAACACCGAAATAAAAATCGCATTAGTTAACTCAGAGATCTCAATGATTCCCGTATTGATTTGATGGCACGGCTTATTGCACGAACACATGAACGGAGTTGACATATTGTATAGTCCCTGACCAAGGTGTGTTATTTCAGCTCTTTATGCATTTCATAACATTAAAAAACGTCGTTTTTATGTTAAGTGCTATTGTTTGTAAGGCATAACGATTTTGTGATACTAGCCTATATACAATACCGACCTGAATGTTCAACTTCGAGAAGACAATAATATTGTTTATGGTGCCTTCAGTATCAGACAGTAATCTAAGAAATGGAATTTATACGGTTATTTGTTATCAATCGTAAAGAAATTGTCTTAATAATGGTGCCGTTTATTGTTTTTTAATCGCATTTATTAAATATAGTAATACATATTCAAAATCTTAATTATTTTTGTACCTTATTCGGTAGTATCTGATGAAGTGCAAAAAATTAATATTATTCAAATTTGCATTAATATTTTATGGTATACAATAGTTTTGAAATTATTATCATAATAATGTAAAAGGAGATTGTACGATTTGTATTACTATTATAGTTCATTTTGTGTACAATAGATGAATCAACAGAAATACTTGCATTGTCATAATCATAATATTTCGTGTTTAAAAATATATTCTACAGAAGTGCAAACCGAATATGATCGTGCTCTCGGATAATAGTAGCACAGTTAACATAACAATAAGAATTTATTGGCCCGTTCAATAACGGTGCAACTACGTATTATTATCATTAATATACAATCATCATTGATGGGTAGTTGGTTTCAAATTTTTTCGATTACAACAAAAACTACTTATGTTTTCAGACATCATTGACACTAAGATATGAAGTAACTCTCGATATTATAACGAGTATTTAATGGCAGCGAACAGTGAATCATCGCGCATAACTACTGATAGTATTAAATGTATTTGAAATGCTCGTATTAAAATACCAAACAACGATATTAATCGACCATACTAATTGTTATACGTGACCCCTTGCATTTACTAGGTTTTTAAAATATTACCATTTGAACAATGTAATAATATTCATAGTCTATATGTATTTACTATATTTATTCACACCATTAATATAAAGTGGACTAAAGTTTATATTCGAAGCATGATCATTAAACGAACCAATTGATATAACATAACCAATGCATATAAAAAAAATCAATGTTTTTAAAAATGTATATCTATGTACTTAACGTTGAATAAGTTTAAGATTTTAAACGATGCAAAACATTTATATTTATTGTTCAATTATGTATTTTTATGCTCAGAAAATATACTTCGAATCAAATCGGTCAACGCATTTTTGATAGAATATTCAAAATTGGACATTCAATATTATTTTCAGGGACATTTAAAATGAGAAATTAAATATTATAAATTATTTTTTACTTTTATGAATCTTGATGTTTTAATTTTAGATGTTGAATTAAACAAGGAATTTATTAGTTTTACCATGATATGCGATTTGTGTCTACGTATACGATATCGAGCTGAAGGATTGCTGCTATGAGTACAAGTAATGAATAAAAATTTAGGAATATATATCTAGTATTGAAAAGAGAAGTGGGTAATTATTTACCCTAACAGAATGCGAACAACTTCAAAAGACAACAAGATTCGAACAACGCACCACGCCTGTTATTATATTGTGAACCTAATATTTTTTTCGTGTTTATTTATCTAATCATCACAATCATAGAAAGTTACTGATAGGAATTTAGTTTATTTTGTACTTAAAATGAGTAATTTTATAAATTTTCCAATAATTTTAAAAAAATAACAACAAATAACAAAACAACGACAAAATGTATGGCTTATCGATTTTCGACCAAATCGAACTATTGTTTTTATGTGATTCAATGAATAGTAATCGCAGAGACTTTACATTTTAATTGAATTACTATTTGTATCTTTGTTTATTTTAGATGATACAGTTTTTAAAAGATTTTTTTTATTGAGCTATATATAGAAAGTTAATGATTTCATGTTATTTTTTCTCGTAAAATGTCAATGAAAAAATTATGGTTTAACAATAACATTTATAAATTGACCGTCCTAGAGATACTGATACAAAGTTCGATATTGTGTACTACCAGTAGTCAGTTGTTGGAGTAGCGGGATAACTTACGGTATCCACCTAGCTGTACTAGGATTAGTAATTATGTTTTATTATAAACGTTTAATTTTACAACAAATATTTCTCGAGTCCACTTGAACAGTAGATAAGAAAATATAATTTAAAATATCTAGTATACCGACTCTTTATTATGCTAAATTTTTACGGTGTACGGTATACAGAGGCAAACAGTTAATTCGTGAAATATTCTTCAAGTGTATATTTTTATCGGTCCATTTGGTGTATAATTAAATTTTGTGTCGAAATAAAAACGAACTGTAACTATCCATTCCGGTAATCCCAGACGATCGTCAGGAATTGTTTTTATAGGGCGCACGCTCGCACATTTGCCGAGCGTACGGTTTATTCGGAAGACTTTAGCCACACGTGAATTTCACGAAAAATCTACGTAAACCCTGTGCCGAAGACGTGGCTCGGGGACATATCATTTGCAAGCGACGCGATTGTTTCGCCGAACCAACGGTAACTACGCTAAAAAAAAACGTAAGCAAAAGGAAAATAAACGAGAAAAGAAACGAACGGCATTAAAAATGCAAATAATGTGCGGCCAAAAGTGCCAGGATATGCAAAATGAATAGCACTCGTTTAAAACGTTTCTTCGACTATTATATAACAGTTGATATATCCAATGCGATCGTCTATCCGGCGGATATTTAAAAACATGTATGCGAATTCGCCGCGCAACTCGTTAACCGTACCGAAAAGAATCGTCGCTACCCATATACCATGTGATGATGATGATAATAATAATAATAAAATAATAATAATGATTATGATAATAATAACAATAATAATAATAATATAGTTGCATTTATAGGTAGACGTTTAGGTTGTAATATGATATTCAAAGTCGGCGATAGAATTATTTTGCTCCCGACATATCCATTAAGGGCCGTCTAGAGGCGCGACCGCTGTCGCCGTCTGCGCTGTTTCATTATGGAGACGCGCCCCGCTGATAAGTCAACTGTGCAGAGCCTAAAATTGCACACGTGAAGTATGATAAGTTTTTGTACAATCGTGCACCACCTTATCTATCGGAGGCGGTTGATAGGTACCACTCGGATAAAAAAAAAAAATCGGGATGCAAACTCTAAATCTTCACACGGCATTGTTTATATAATTGATTATGTAATCAAAACAATTTGATTTACTCATATAATGAAATTAATAATAGCAATTTCACGGTTCCGACTTTTTTTTTCATACGTTCACATGTAAGAGTAATATTTTACAATTGAAGGGTTCAGAGCAAACGCCAAATATCTCCACTCTATTCAGAAATCCATTGTTGTACGTTATTTGATAAAGAAAAATGTTGTCTACAATTTGGTGCAATAACCAGATAAACCCGTCCGTTATATAGGATATTATTACACAAAATTAGATGCCAAGCTTTCAGATTTCGGTGCAATAACTAGATTAAACTAAACAATATAAGTAAGAATATTACATTTATATTTATATATGTATATGTATAAGTATAGTTAGCTCTTCCTATAAAGAATTTAAGTAGAATTAAATATATTTTCTTAGTTGCATTAGAATTTTTATTATTTAGTTTTTTGTACCTTCTGAACGGTTGAAAAAATTAAGATAACTGGATACTACTCCAAGGCCGTAACTGGAAAAAAATTTCGGGGGTGGGGGGTCTAACATTATTATTTAATATAATTTATAGTTAATAAACTATAATCACCGCTAAAATCTTTTGAAAATTTCGGACCCCTGGACCCCCCAGTTATGGCCTTGATTACTCCGAACACTTCAGTCGTTCTAGGATCCCAGGAACTTCACGGAACGGAGATATTTTCTTCGAAACCATTATATCGTGCTGCGTATATACGTATCTACCGTCGCCAGTAACACTATTAGTAGAAATAGTGGAATGCCTCTTGTGCAAGAAGGATATAGGGAGGTCAGGTCAGTTTACCCAAAGTCGATATTTGTTGACAAAATTAGCCTCTTGAAGATTTCTTATATTCTTTAAATCTGTCGACTATAGGCAAAAGTTAACACTAGACTACTATAGTGAATGTCGCAGTTGCCATCCCCCAAATAACGCCACCGAATTAATTGTACGAGTGAAGTACAATAAAACATATCTACGCTGGACCTAGTGTAAAACGGAATCATTCATAAAACAAAATAAACATTAATTTTTTTCAGTAACAATTATGAATAAACTTAAAAACGCATATTATACGACCGTATTATGTTTTTTGGTTACACAAAATATAAATTTACTACCCATTTTCAGTCCATATAAGTAGTCTCTTGAAATAGTCTGACGCACCGTTCTCTCTAGCTATGGATCCACCCCTGTTCTTGTGGAATTCCGGGTACGTCCATTAAGTCGTGTCCAGGCGTAATGGGTTCCCGTGTAGGCATGCGACAAGAATCGATGTAGATCTTTAGTGAAATAATATTTTATATACGTAGTACGTGTGTGGCGACTGTGCAAAGGCGTGGTGTCTAGACATGTCGCAGCCGTATGTTGTGTCTGCTCGTATCTTTATCTTTTACGCGCCTTCAAACCATTAAAAAACAAACCGATTAGCCGAAAACGGTGTGCGCCCGTCGGATAACGCACCCCCCAGTGTTGCCCACCACAGTGGCTCCTCTATAAAAACCGGTCGCGTCCGTCCGGTTCAACCAATAATTCGCTGGGCATCCATCATGGAACACTACCGTTGGACTTCATTGTTGTTCTTCGCCGTGGTCCTTCATTCGGCCACGCCATTCAAGATACCAGGTTAGTGGCGTTTTTGTTTTACGTTTTTTATGATATTTTTTAATTTTATTTCTCACATTTTTTCATCTACGTTTTCGATGTACACGCGCACCCACGCACCCGCGTCAACATCGCTCCGACCACGTTTTCATAATCTTTTACCACGCCATGATGCAATGATAGCTTCTTCGAGCGTAATCCCTGTAATATATGTACAGAGTGTTTCACCGAATCTTACTGATGTTTTTGTATTGGCAGTTAATATTGGCATTTTTCAGTTTTTAATTTTTCAATGTTATTTTGAGTGTAAAGGTTCAAGTTATTTCTAACTACTAATTAAAAATTTATTTCACACCATAATCACTTTAAAAGATTAATTTTCCAGTTGTTCACTTAAATAATACAGTTTTTAGAATAACATACACAATGTGACTTGAAACTGATATAATGAAAACAACTGGGAAGTTACTATTTTAAAGTGATTAAGGTATGAAAATATCAATTTTATAAATAGTTATTATTATGTGACCTTAAAACAAAATGCAATTGAAAGAATAAAAATAAAAAATTGTCAATATGAAATTCCTATATAAAATCGGTAAAATACGGCGAAACACCTTGGACATGAATAAAACGACAATAAATTTATGCGAGCCGTGATATCAAACATTTTAGAAATCTAATTTAAATTTTTGTTTATTTATTTTTAGCTCTTTAACCTGAGAACAGCTTAAATTGATTTTCTTTTCTTTTCTTTTTTTTAATCTTGAAAAAATAATTTTTACTGCTAATTTATTTTCATTTTTGTTAAAACATAATAGTATTAAAACAGTTTTTGCTTAGAATAATATGAAATAATATTACAATTTATAATTATCCACCGGTAATATAAGATAAAATGTAATATATCTTACTCATCGTCGTACTCGTAAAGTTGAAAGATATGGCATAACGATGTTGCTTAAAAAAATTCATTTTTACAAATTGTTCTGTATGTAATTTTTCTTTGTTTTTTGAATACCTAAACAAAGTAAATTAAAAGGATCCGGAATAAATGTATTGTCAAAACATTTATAGAACGCTTTAATTTAATTTATTTTATTTTATTTGTTATTTATACTGCGTTAAAATCTTAGTTCCATATCGACATAAATTATTATTATCGTCAGAGTTGACCAAAATTATTAGAAAGTGGATGAATCTTATTTTTTTTTTTTTTTTATATATATATATGAACTAAATGTTTCAAAATAATTCTTAGACTTTATTTTAATATGAATTTTTATTAATTGTAGAAAATTAATAAAATCATAGGCATATAATATTTTATTCATTGTACAACTGGTATTATAATACTCGTATATTTTATATATGCTTTAATGATGTACATTACTATGTATATTATCAAAATTAAATTCATAAACGTCAACAAAAGCTGCAAACTCCAAACATATAATACTTTTTTAAATAATAAAACACAATATCAATCAATATGAATAAAAATTAAAACCTATTTGAAATAAATTTTTTTATATATAGGGAGGATGGGGTAAATTGACGCAACGGGCAAGATGACGAATTCGAATTTAAAATTATAAAATTAAATCTAAAAGTGTATTATCGCAGAAATAACATGTATGTAGAAGTGATTATTTAATATTTTGATTAACAAATTTATCTGATAAGACGCGCGTGGTTTGTTATCATTTTACTATTTTTTGGAGGTAATATTATCATTAACGGGTGTTCGAAAATAAGGTTTTATGGAAAAAAATAAGTTTTTTTTAAGTTAATTCAATACATAAATTTAGTGCACATTCTAACTTTTCTATTAGTTGCTCTACGATTAAAATCTGTTGAATTTTTAATACAAAATAATATCTGTTTTGTATAATTTTCATTTGGGGTATGTTGACTTTGATAAGTTGACGAATTCGTTCACTTGCCTCTAATCTTTATTCTGTGAGCTGTTAATATTTTCGTATTAAATGTAATTAAATATCAATATACAATAAGTAATTATTACTCATTTGATGGTTAGGTACAAGTTGTTTTTTATTTAATTGATTAATAAAAGTATTTTGAAAGTATATAAGTGGTTTTGATTTTATTAAAGACATATTTTACCAACATACCTATCTACTTACAAGTTAGATGTTATTTGTATTTGTTTAACGCAAAGAATTTTTTTTTTTTATTAAAAGTTCTAAAATTATTAAAAACAAGTTACATAATACATCCACTAATTTGATGTGTTATAATATGTTGCCTGCTGAAAATTGAACCTTTTTTTAAGTTACAAAACTTCATTTAAACAGATATAGTCAAGTTGCCCCAATACAAAATCAACTTACCCTAGCTACGGGGAAAGATGACGAAATTTAAAAAAAATAGAACTCAAATTCTAAACCATTGAATATTAAGTCATAATAATTTTGAATATTATTCTAAAGACATTAAACAACGTCTATACAAAATTTCAGATCTCCAAACAGTTAAACAGTTACAGAAAAATAAATATTTGAATCTTAAGATAGCCAACTTGCCCCACTCTCCCCTACACGATATATAATAAGATGAAAAAAATATATTTTCACATGGTTAATACTACATTTTTGTTTTTTAATGAAACTTTAAATAAGTTTTTAATTACTTATTTACGAGAAATTAATCTATAATCACATCACATAATGACGCGAAAAACACTTTGTTATTAAAAAGTGGGAAATTTAAACTCAATTTGTGGATAATAATTATTTAACATTTTACGCCATTCACGTATTTTTTTGTAATATAATTAGGTTTCAATGAGAATAACTGTTGGCATTATAGACATTCAACTTTTAGTACAATAATTTTTTATTAATTATAATAACAAAATATCAATATTGAACTCGTTCATCGGAGAACACAGATAAACAAAAAATTATATTAAATACACGTTTCATTCTAAATCTAACTAATACTAAACTATAACATGATGACCGTCAAATCATGCATAATTATTTATCTTTATTATAATAAACACATTTATTTTTAACTTGTCAATATTTCTTTAAATAAAAATCTTACTATTAAAATTTTAAAAGTAAAAAATAATTAATAATATTAATAATTATAATAATATATAGTTAATATTATAATTTTTAATATTACTACTTATATGCCCTAGGTTTTAAAATTATTATTTTGTTTTTTTTTCTATTTGCAAAACGTTGATATTAATATGTTGTTTTTGTACGTAATACATATTTTTAAAACGAGTTATCGAAGTGCATTAATATGATATGAATAATGTTCACATTAGTTCGTATCTATACATCATTATTAATGAATTGAATTAAATTATTAATGATTCATTAACAATATTTATATCATATTACAGTTCCATAGACACTGAAATGCCTATTAGAGATTTATTACAACACTCCCAACACGTCTTCCAAATATCAGAAAATTTTTTATGGTTTAAATCTTAAGTTTATTTTACGATGAATACGAAAAATCAATTGTTGCGTACACGGTATACTACTGCGAATTTATTAGTCCATATAATATTTATAAGGTAATTTGTTGTTTTATTCGTAACTGAACAATCGGAAAAATTGCATTATATATTTAAATTAAATAAATTACAAGCTCAAAGCGAAATAATACAAATCTCCGTTTCCCGTGAAAGGTTAGAATGTTAGATGCCTAGAATATCACTATCGAGAGCCCCGCGTTACCGGATTATATTCATACGTTGTTGTCAGTTTCGATCACCGAACGACGGCCGCGTGTACGCGTGTGGTATGGTTAATATGATTTACATTTTTTTTCTGATTTAAACTCAAGTATAAGACCGAGCATGTAGATGCGTTGTTTCGTGAAAAATCAAGGATAATATAGTGATTACTATACCAGGAATTTATCCGGAGAAACGTCAAACCGTATCATTGACACGCGGAGCCGTTACTCGAACATTGAACATGACGTTATCTTTGTTCGGTGAAGCTTGAAATTTAGACTGTGGAAAATAAATACCAACTCTTTTATCTTGCGCGCAACTTCTCATTTCAGGTAACCTATTGAAATTATAATAATGTCGCGTACGAAACTTCACATCTGTTTACGAATAATGTATGTAACAGTCGGCATTCGTACGCGGAACGTTATCTCAAAATCAGCGTCGACGGTCGAAAATTTACGGTCAACCAAAAACCGGAAAACCTGGACATCATTGTTCGCGTACAATTATAGTTCGTGAAAACGGTGTTTCGATATTGTTCTGTGTTATTAATTAATTATGTAGCCTTTCGTATTAGCTATTCGACTGGAGCACCGATTAACAGTCGATTACGTTTAGTTAATGTTCACCGTGGTGGCGGTTCACGTCATCATCTTAACGACTCGTCACTATTATTACGAACTATTTAAATTTGGTACCGATGACAAAACTTTGCGAAAGTAACTTGTTTGAATATTGGTGAATTCGTTACATCTATACCCGACGTGTCAAATTGTTCTACCCTTCGGCAGCTTTCTACGATATCGGCCTATTAATACGGATTTGATGAAATTAATTTCCGAAAATAATGACTCACAGAACAATTGAAAAAAAGAAAACTACAAAACTGATAATGCTTATTTTCAGAGTGATTTATTGTGGCCCTACTCTTTATGAATGATAACTAGATATGGTTTGATAAATATTTTAATTGTTCTTTCGTCATTTTTTCACGTACCAAAGGGCGGTTCCAACATCTATTTATGGTCGAGGCATTTTACAGAAGAAATTATATAATATATCTAATCATAGGATTATGTTGAAGTATGAGCCCTAAATAATAATTCGACAATATTTTACTAAAACTATTATCATTCATTTTTGTAATATATTATTTAGTTCTTCTAAATAATCATTATTTTTAATATTATTTGCTTATTATTTGCTCCCAGTGCCCCCTATGTACGTACCATAGAGTTTTTATTCTTGAACTTGACGATATTGTGTTAATATTTAGCCGACTTACGTTTGGTTGCGAACATAAATCGATGGACCCGGTGTACACTGGGTAGCCGATTGGGAAAGTGATAGCCGTTCGAGAATTAATTTTAATATTCTACTGTGTAGTATTTTTACAAAAATGGATATGTGAATACATTTGGCATAAAAGAGCTTATTGGGTTAATTTCTTTTGGCGCGAAAGAATATTATTCTTAAAACTCAAATGGTCAGTGATGGCCGCGTTGACTTGCCGGTAGCGGTTGCTTTTCGCGATACATTTTCGTCGTATTTACGGTAACGATGTGTTACAGGTCTGTCGTCCGGAAGTCGCAGCCCGCCAGCCAGCAACAAAGCAGCGGGCAGCAGCCATAAGGGAGCGGACGGCGGCGAGTACGTGGGTCCGGTGTTCATAATCAGAGAGCTTAACAAAGAGACTGGCGAGTATGATGCGTTCATCACGACCGGTGGCATACAGGAGGTGAAGCCACCGCACCCGCACCACCAGCAGCACCCGAACCACCAGCAGCACCCGTACGAGCAGCACCAGAACCAGTACCATCCGAACCCACAGTACCCGCACGTGAAACAACCGAGTCCGCAACAACACCCGAACCTGCAGCAGCAACAGGATCAACAGTTGGTAGCGGCCAAGGAAACCGAAGACTCAGAGTACTTTGGTGTGCTGGTCACGGCCGAGACGGTTAAAGCGCTGAACCATCCCAAGTCGGCGTACATAAATGTGTCCGTTTCGGTGCTGCTGACGGCCACGTCGTCTCGGATGCCTTGGCTATTGGTGCTGCACCGCAAGGACTACCCGCACCTCTTCGAGTACCAGCAGCAGCAGAAACCAGGGTCACAGGATCAGCTGCCACAGCCCGGCATACCCGGCATGCAGGTGCCACAGCGGCGCAGGTACTACTCGGAACGGCAGCGGCGCGGGCTATATTCACGGACCACACCGCAGAACCAGGGACGTTGGGCCCAAGGTTACCAGGACGAGGACGAGGAACAAGAGAGGATCACGCCGGTGCTGTTCGAGCGCGAACTCTTGTCCACCATTTGCTACAACTTTGCGCAAGACACCGACGCGGCCGCTGGGTTGGGCGCCCGTTTGGACCGTACCGGACCCTTTTTCGACGCGAACGCGTATGCCGCGGCCGTCGCTCCGACCACGCAATCAGCCGCGCAGCCATCCGTCCCCGAGAACTTGCCCATGGACATACCCAAACGCGTGTCTTAGGCCCTTCTCATCCTTCTCCCGTCCATCGCATCCGTTCCACTTACCGTTCGCCATCCTTGCCCCCCTCGTTGCACTCACTTTTAACGATTTTATCCTGTCGCATATCAACTATGTAGTATACTACACGCGTATGTTTCATCAACTTTGTCTTATGTACGTTCATTTTACGCTTTTCCACGCCCACGATTCGCGTGTTTTATTTTATGTATTTTTTTTTCTCTTTTCGTACCATTATTATTATGTGTATGAAACATTTAATAAATAACATTTGCATTAGAAGACTTTCGGTTTCTTTTGTTGTTTTCCTCCTCGTCGCTGTGTTGTAGTTAACAAATAATAAGAAGAAGAAAAAAAAAAATGAAAAATCTTTTTTACATTAACTGACACGTTTTTCTACAAAATTTCTGCACAGCCAAAAAGTACACACGTTGTTGATAGAAGTATGGAAAAATAAAAACGCGTATTTTATATATGCTATGTTGTCAACGTAATGGATTTTATACGTTCAGCATATTTTGAAATGAAAAATAAATAAAATATTCATCAAATAATTTATGAGCAATAGTACACCACTTCGCGTTATCTTTAATAATAGATTATTCATATTACTATATACTCAAATCCTACCCAAATACCGGATAGTATCTAATGAATATATAACTGTGAAAATAAATATGTTAGTTACTATTCGTATGACGCAGATGGTTATGCAGTGTTACTGTCACACAGTTGCAGTATACTGAACATATATATTTTTTTGATATAAACATAATATGACGAAATCCATTCCTATTACTTATTATTCATATATCATTTAATAACAGGTCTGATTATATTATACATTTTAAAATAACTAGTTTTTACTTATGTGTTTTATTAAAATATTTTCATTTCATTACGATCAATAGGCTTCAAATGTAGAATTTACTCGTAATACCTTAACAATTAAATACACAGGAATAACGTTATATTCACAGTATATATTTAATTGGATTTTTAACATTTTTGATTCGTGGCTAGTGTTCAAAACAGTTAAATTCAGTGTATGGTATTTATTTATGAAATCAAAAAATAAGTTTTTTAGTATTTAATTTTGAATATTTAGATTACAATAAAATTCAAATTTTCTCCATTTCATAATCTCTTGTATATATTAAAAGTTAAAAATATAAATGTTAAATATTAGCTGGCTTGTTATTAAATTATTTTCCAAAAGTTAAATAAAAAGTTTCAAACGATTCAAAAGTTTTCAGTCCAGATTTGAATGGTCTTAAATTACAGTGTTGTTGATATTAAAGAGCAATGATATTTTATACTACGTTACATTATTAATATTGTTTATACTCATTGTATCATGTATTATGCACGCGTATGTGTTTGTGTGTACTTCTGATCAGCATCACCTTACTTAGACTCCATAAAATATTTTTAAATAAGACTAACTAAAAGTAAAATAATCTCTTCGGTACACAGTGTAATACTACAGTCTAGTTTCGTCATATTTTTCGTTTTAATTTAAGTGCTACTTTACCCAACGTGTACTGGGCAATTAGGTCACGGGAAAATTATAAAATGTAAACTGAATAATACACCCATTACGATGTATTTAATTTAATACATTATGACGTACATAATTTATACGAACGTCTCTAAAATTGTTAATAATCCTAACACTACTCGGTAACTGTGAACATTCGAGCTTTATGTGTCATCTTATCACGTTTCAACACATTCTACTTCTCAATGAACAGTGACATTGATATCGTAATGATCGGTTGATGTCTGTTGCTGATAAACGGTATCTGATCAAGTTATAACTTGATCATATACTGTTTATCTTGGTCATAATCAAGCGTCAAGCCCCGCAAAGAACGTTTAAAAAAAAATTAAGTTGGGTCGTTGGATGCATCTACACTAGGTTGAACGTATTTAAATTACAGAGCAATGATAAATTGTCGAATTCGGAAAATAACTCCGAACGGACCTCGTAAATCATAAAGTTTTTAATTTTTTGTCCACAAAAACAAAAAAAAAACAAAATTTTAGCCAAGAATTTCGTTGTATTTAAAGTGGACTTTGATTGACTACTTTATAAACTAGTCTGCTATATTTTAATTTATTATATAATAAATATACTTAAACATTTAACTTAATGCTTAATACGAATAACAGTACAACTTTTGCTCGAAATATTTACCAAACTGTATTATTCCTATCGTAGTGTAATAATTACACTACAATAGGAATAATTATTAATTATTATTACGCCAAAATGTGTAAACAGGTCGAATAGGTATTCGACGAAAATCTGATAAGCGAAATGTATAAAAAAAAGTATCAACGAAAAGTAACTATAAATAATTTTACATTTTGTAAATTTGTAAATATTTCACTTTAAACGTTCAAAAACTATAGAACTATGTATTATAACCATCGAATATCATAAAACAATGTGCAATAAACTACAATGATCTTGATGCTTACTGGAAACCAAACTTTATTCTTGTCCATTGTTCCGTTGGCTCTTGGATACGATCAGTTTACTTGTATATCGTAATGTTGACGATGGCATCTATGAAGAGTATTTGGATTTTTAGCGAAAAAACATAAAATTTGTCAAACTTTTCTAAGTAAATAAATTGTCAACATTTATAATTAGTTTTGGATAAAAATAATAAAAAAAAATAACCCGTCGTTTTTTTATTTCGTTAAAATTTTACATAACTTGTTGTCAATGCTGTAGGTTTTGACAGATTATTTATGATGACAAACTAAAACAAAGACTTTTTAGGCATAAAACCAATACTTTCGTACAATCGAAAACTATTCACATATTTCCAACACGTGGCGATTATAATTTTTATATTCTATTGTTTTTAAAGTACTACATAATATTTTGAAAAATAATTTTGAATAAGTGACATAAACATTGCTGATATCAAAATGGTTTCGTATAAATAAAATCACCAATGAATGACGTTCATAACTATGATTTTTTATATTTATTTGTAGAAGCCGTTCACATGCTGTTTCACCATTTCATATATATTCAATATTTTTAATGAAGTCCAGTAAAAACAATCATTAACTTATTTTTTTTATTTTTTTTTTTTTTCCTGACAACGTCAAAGCATTTGGTTTTATTTACATAATACATTTATAATAAACAAAAATATTTTGTATATACGCAAAGTTTTAACTACTATAACTATTAATAGGTTTATTCTATTTTTTGCAATATTTCATAAATATAAGCATTTTTAAATTGTGTTATTGTTATTTTTATGTCCCTATAACAGAGTGTATTTTGAATCTCATATTATAAAGAGAATATTATTATACAAAAAAAAATCTAATATCAAACTAGTTATTAATTAGCTATAAATATTTAAGTAATGTTTGCAATATTTACACGAGCTTTATAATCCATTATCATTTCGTTGGTCATACCACTTCACTGTTCACGTTAGTCTTACTAAACTTTACGTAGGTATAAATATGAATAAATAACGACTTGTTTGGCATTCGATTTTTTTTTTAGCCGTAGTACTTAGAAACATTTCTAAATTGAAATTATGAAATGAGAAGTATAAATTTTTTGTTAAATTATTAAAATATCAACAGACACTCAACAAACTATGACAGAAAATTATAGTAAAAATGCCTTCTTTTTTAAACAATAATTTTTATTTTTTCGTCGTTGACATGAAAAAAACCTCCAATGTGCTAAAACCTAATTTTTTAGGAGAGAAAAAAAAAACGTTTTAAAAATTCACAAAGTATCAATGATTAATGAAAATAAATTTAAAAAATATTAAAAATATAAACCATTATTCTAAAAAAAATCAAATTAAAAAACTTAATAAATATGGATTTATTGTACAAATTTTCAATATTTCAACACATAGGAGGTTATGGCAATTAATATTTTTTGCCAAACATAGTACATGGTGGTTGAGTTCTTTAAATAAAAGACATTACCATATTAAAAAATGTATTTTGAATGATTTTATTAAAAAAAGAAAAACTAAATAGTGTTATCTAAGAACTAAATATTTATTAAAAAATTATAGTTGTATAAAATCCTTAACATAATAAAGCAAAATAACTTTTAATTTTATATTTATAATATTTAAACCAATAACTTATGGTGGTTTATTTATGGTTGTGTGATTATCAATGTAATAATAAAACATAATTGCTAACTTAGTATATTGCTACTGTTTTATAACAAAAAAATAATAAAAAATAGTTTATCAGTCCTCATAATAAAATAAATAACAAAATATAATCAAATTTACTTTAAATAGCACTTTAAATTACAATACACCTATTTACCGAAGTCATATATTTTATTATTTTTTTTTTTTTTTGGCTTTGGAATGTGGCGAATTGACATAGAAAGGGTGATACTTTTTTTCTATGACAGGCTTTAATGATTGCAAATATTTAAATTTTGTATCAGAGATGGGCAATAGTGTATTGTACAAATTTCTGAGGGTTGTAGATTCAATTGATCTTCAAGTTGTTTTAACTTTATTTTGTTCTGATAGTTTTTCCCAATCATCTTCAAATTTAGTTTTATATAGTATTTTACCTTCATAAGTAAATTGAAGTTTACAAATATCTGTTACGAGTTTGTCTCCTGTTTTTTTTCTTGGACGTAATGAAGTCAACAAGCATACATCATCATAATTTTTAAAAAATGAGTAGTCCAAAACGTTAATCTTATATTGTTGATTACGCCTATATCATTCTACTTATATAATCCCCAGGAGGATATATTGGTGATTTAAAATAGTGCTCTAGAGTAGAGTGGACATTGTCAGCCTCCATCATAGTATGACCCTTTGTCAGAAACTGTTCTATAGTAATATAGCTGTTATAATATAATAATAATATAACTGTAGTAATATTTTTAGTTGTAGCAAAAGTACTTAATGTACATGCCAATGTTTTGTTACGATTTTGGTAATTACAACCATCTGAGATCAGGACAACTTCAGTCACTTGTCCAAAGTAACTTATACCAAATTTTCAATTATATAGGAGGTATTTCATAAACGATTTATAGTTAGTAACACATAGGAGGATTTATTTATTGTTTTTCGTTAATTCTACGTAGCACATTGGAGATTTTAGCAAGATTACAACCTATTTTTTTCAGAATACAGGGATATCAATATCTCAAAATCATAAATTTGGCACATGGGAGGTTTATTCGTGTCAACGACGTTTTGTATGTGTGTTCATTGAATTTTGCGTCTCACCCTAAAACAATACAACTTTAACGTTCTGTACCGTAATATGGAAAGTAACGCTTAGCAATAGGTTATATCCAAATACATATTGAACAATATTGAACTGCACGATGTCCCTTTTTT